CCCAGTGAATTCAGTTTATAATTACTTTATTACAGTGCTTTTTAGCACAGTCGTGGTTCAGGACTAGACCCAGTTTCTAAGTTTTATTGTAGGGAATTGGAATTCACTTATGAGTTGTTTCAGGCTGCCGGGACTTGGAGCAAGCAGCTCTAGTGGAAGGTGTCCCTGCCTGCGGCAGGGGTTGGAAGTTGATGAACTTTAAGGTCCTTTCCAACCCAAAACATTCTGTGGTTCAGTTCTTTGGTGTTCTTAGGCTCTCCGGAGGAGCACGCGTGTTCCTAAATGTCCAGAATACCTGTTTGCTAACGCTGGAGTTACAAAAGTATAAAATAGGTGGATTAAGTCCTAATAATAACTCAGTGTTTCCCCTGCATGGAATTATGGAGAACAAAAGCTTATAAACCTGGGGGGACTGTATGGATGCTGCGGTCAGTAATGCTCCACAGTTGGGTAGGGACGTATCCTACGGCGTGATGGTGCGTATAGTTAGCTACACACTTATTGCCTTGAGTTGCAGTTGATTTGATGCTGAAAGCAGTGGAAATTCTAAAGTTGTTACTGTTAAAATTGTAAAATTGAGGGTGAGATTCCTGCCATAATATATAACAGATGTATGCTGCTGTAATAAAATGTTAATCTATAAAGGACATTTACTTGGGTGCCAGACACCACCGTGATAATGAGTAATAAAAGAGGCAGACTCTGAAGATTGTGCGAATGGAAGTTAGTCAAATTGACTTTAAAGTCACATTGAAGTCCTGCTTCTTGTCTCTTTTTTGGTCTTTTTTCTTCCCTCTGATTTTTGTGATGTTAATGGCATCAGGAAAGGTTCCTAAGGAGGTTTTCTGTGTGCTCTAAAGACAGGGACATTCACTGCCTTGGAGAAGGGACTTGGCAAGTGAGCCCATGGCCGTGATTTGTATTATTTAAGTGGATTCTGTGCTAGCTTATAGGATGAGTCTATGGTGGTGTATGCCTCACTGCTTTTTATGGGAGGTGTCTGTTAAGTAACTGTGTGATTTGCAGACACCCTTTCATTTGTGATCCACCATCCCTCCTCCCAGCACGTTTCCATAGCTCATGTGTAACAATTGCATAATCGTTGACAGCTTTGATTAATTTTAGGGAAGTATTTAATGTGCTTTTGACTTCATTGAGTAATTTAATGTCCAAGAACATGATGTATAACAAATATGTGAGCAGTCAGTGAGTGAAGCTGTCATCTGGCAGTGCCAGAACAGGGCACTTTGTGCCTACAGCTTGGCAAGCGTAGGTCCTTGGTGAAGCCAAGGGTAGAGCCCCAGGTCTTGTGTTTCCAGCCTTCATTGCTGCATCATTCCTTCTGTTTGTTTGGGTTTTCTTATTGTGGAGGGAATCTGTCAGTTTTAAATGTGATTTTGATCTTCATAAATCTTGCCTTTGCGGAAATGCCGGATTTGAGTTTGCTTTGCAAACACGGCTCTCGGTAATGAAGGGATTTTGGTAGGATATTGAGCAATGTTTAGTAGACAAAAAACCCTACCCCTTTTCATGGCCAAGTTCACAGTAACATAAAAAAACTGGCATGAGGAACACTTAGAGTTCAAAATCAGTCTTGTTTGGAGTAGCCACGACTCAGGATGGAAGTGCCAGGGTAAAAATAACTGCGACACGTGGCTGTAACGTCCCTGGAATCTGCCCCTCTCTCAAGGAACGGGAAAGTGATGGCCACAAGGGTCCAGGCGGCCCCAGACACCTGCATGTTTCTCTCACAGGTCTGTAAAGTGCTGATAGCACGTTTCCCCTTGGAAAGGTTAAGTAATTTGGTTTCTGCATGTGAAAATGAGCAAGGGAGGTGTGGGTGACAAGCAGGGCAGCGCTCAGAAGGTTCTTCTCTTTTCTTCCTTCCCTAAAGCTGCGTGAGTGGTGTTTGCTCCCTCCTCTCTCCCCTCTACCCCAGCAATGTCTTTCCCTGTCTTTCTCCATCCCAGTGCATCTCTCAAGGGAACAACAAGAGAGGAGAATACATGTCAGGTTAACAGCACACGTGGCTATAGAAGCTGCGCCTTGAGAGGCCCTTTCACGTTGTCTCTAGGAACTGATGCTTGTGGTTTGCTGTGTGCTCGATTGGTGCCTCGCTCTTTTTCTGTTCCTTTTCTCTCACCCTTTTTTAAACTAGGGCTGTGCATCGTGCTTTTTGAGTGAAATTAAGGTCTGCATTGCTGAGCTGTCATCTCTCTTCAGCCCTGTAGCTGAGACTGGGTCAGTGCTTTCACTAAAAATCCCTGTTTTCAGGTGTGTACAGATTGGAGCCAAGCAAATGCTTGCAGCAAGAACTTGCCTGGATGAGCTCTGCTTTGCTGTAGACTCACTTCTTACTGTGGTTGGAAAAATACTTGAAAAGGATTCCAACAGCTTTGTTACCTGTTTCTAAACTGTTTTATTTCTGTAGCTCTAAGGTGGCATGAGCCCATGGCTCTGGAGTGCTGGATGCTGAGCTGCTAAAGAGAAATACTTTGGACCCACACTTCCCCTCCCAACCCCCAAATTACCTGGTTTTCATTTAAACATCCTACGATTCTACTATTAGAAGGGGAACAGTTCCTTCTTTTATCTCTTGGAAGCTTTCTTGGGAAGAGCAGATAACTGCATAAAGCCAGGCTGTCTCATCTGGGGCTTGAAAGTACCACAGTGGCTTTCCAAGCCTTGACCTGCCCTTCTCCTTTACTCAGGCAGTTGAAGCCTGTGAGCCTGGGCTGTTAATGAAAGGCAGCAGCTGACCCTGTAGATGCTCTTCAAGTAGTGTCACATGTGTGATGTCTGTGCTGGCAGGGCTGGGATGATGGCCTGCCCCTCTCCATCCCACAGTGATGTGTGTCTGAAGGAGGAAGCAGGGTCCAGGACATGGCAGACCTCATGCATGGGCTGGAGAGGTACAGTGCAGGATGCTGGATTTATTTCAGAGATGCCGAGATAGTACCAGTGCCTGATGCTTCTGTTTCCTGTGTGCAGAGATACTGTGCCTGGTGCTGGTGTGTGGCACAGCCTCCCTGCACACAGAGGTGTGCTGAGAGATCATGCCTCTTGGCTGCAGAGGTGCAGCATGGATGCTGTATGCTTCTTATAAGAAAGAAACCTGATGGATTCCATAAAACAGCCTAATTTGTGAGTGTTGCAGCAGTCATGGGGTTTTAACACAGCAGTGCCAATTGTGAGCAGTTAAGTGATGCTTCCTCCCCTTTAAAATCACTCGGGGTGATTTGAAGCTGAGCTGCTTTAAACATAGTTGGCTTTCTCCTGCATTCTTGATAGTAGAAAGTACTGAGTTTCCATCTCCTAAAATGCATTGCAGACTTGGTACAGCATCAAACCAGGTTGCGCAGCTCTCGGTTTGACTTTTCTAAATGGTATCTTCCTTAGAGTTTACTGGGGAGAAGAAGTTCACAGGAACAAACTGATTTGACTTAAGCAGCTCCCATCTTTACTGCAGAAGAAAGTTGTCTTTTTACTGTGGGAAAAGCAAAATGCAGAAAGGGAGAGCATGGGAAGCCCCCAAGTGCTTGGAGATCCTGCAGCAGCCAGCTTTCAGATGAGGGTTGATCAAATCCAGTTGTCAGAATGGATGGAGCCTGTTAATCTGTTAAAATGTGGCTCTGTCTGTTTAAACCTACCCATTGAAAATGTGCTCAGCATGCAGTGGGAGCTGAGCCCGTGCCCTCGGTGGTGTTTCCAGCCCTGCTTCAGCTGCCGTAGCACCCCAGTGCCTGTCCCAGATGCCCAAGCAGCTTCACCACAGTGAGTGGGAGCTGTGGAGGAGCAGGTTCCTCCCCCTCTGCTCAGCCTCCCCTTGCCTCTCAGTCCAGCCGTGGCTTTCTGACTCATTTAGTACTGAGTCAGGCTTTAAATATCTTTGCTGAGCTGTTTTCTGCAGCCTGTTCTTCACAAACACATTGCCCCGAGTTTCAGGGGTGATGCTTTCCCACGGTGCGCTGCAGGTGCGGAGGCAATGGGGAGGGAGTTCCAAGTCAAAAGAAGGGATTTGGGAGCCCAGATCCTGCTGACTTTCAATAAGAGTTGATCATTGAATTGTTCTTTAAAATTCCCACCCCTGAGTTAGCTGCACAGTGAATGGTCAGAAATTGAGGGGGGGTGGTCATCAATGTATTTTGGGGGGTTAAATCCATGGTGTTGAGGTGGAAGTGGTGACAGAGGAAAGGGAAGAAGACTTTGGAAATGTGTGTGAACTATTTGCAAGGACAGTCATCAGATAACGGGATTGTGGGCAGAAGTGGCAACTTCACATAAAAATCCAGTCAAAATTGCTGTCAAGGAACAACAAGCAAGCTATTTAGATGATGAGAGAGGACTTCCTCCTGTGATGGCAATCTTTTCCTCCCATGTCTGCAGACTGTATTTTATTGCTATTAAATCTGATAGGCAACAATAAGAAACTTGGAATTTTCATTAAAAACCAAGACAAAATGGCACGTAGCCTGTGCTCCTAAATGGAATCTCAAGCCAACGAGGGGGCAGAATGAACCTGAGCTGCTGGGAGGTGAGGGGGGGATGGAGCAGCTGCAAAGCACAGGGACAGGTTTTACTTCTCACTCCCAAAAGCTAGTGCAGTCCTGCACTGAACAGAAATGTGACCTTTACAGTTGTGAGCTTGATGTTTTAACCTAATGAAGTTCAACTTTGTGTCTCCTTCCTATGGTTTTCCTTAACTGCATCTCCAATTCGTAAAGCAGTTTTAATGACCTAATCAAGTAGAAATTGTGTTCTGCCATTGGCTTCCCCCTCAGGCTTTCCCTGTCCTAGAGGCAAGGTTAAACTGTGCTGGAGTTCTTGTTTCTAAGGCAATTCAATTTGAGTATTCAGACATTGGGTAGAGCTCCATTGATAAGGCAAAGGGCAGATTTTGTAACAGGCATATTTTGGTTTTAAAGCATCAAGAGAAGATTTGCTGCTTGCATACATTGTCATTTGAAAACTGATTAATTCTCCTTTCCTTTTTCTTTCAGTCCCTTGTTAGGGAGCCTGGGAAAACCTTCAGTAAGGTTAACACTGATGAGAGATCTTTTATGCCAAGGTAGGAGGTTTTTAATGTTCTCAGTGTATTTCAAACGAAATGTCTAGCTGTGAAAACACAGGTTGGGGAAGTTCTTGAATGGATAAATGTATAAGGTGTAAGGGTTACTTGAAGCTGATTTCCTGTAGTAAGGAAAAGAAGCACTGAAGCTTTGTGTTCTGTCTTTCCTCATATCCTCTGCTAGAGCTGAAAATACAGATTTGTGCTTACAGTCCAGGCTTTTAAAGGCTGAGTCAAGAATGTGTCTGCTCTGATTTTTAAGTCTTTTATTATCTTCTTAATGGAGATTGTGTCATCACTTATGGCCGGAGTTTCATCAGGTTATCCAAAACCATCAGCCCATGTGCTCTTACCACTGTCTTCCTCTCACTGAGCAGCATATCTGCACCTCTGCTACTCATAGCTCTATCAGTGTTTGGAGAAGGGGAAACCAATGAATACAAACTGCCTCCTTCAGGTGTATTAAATCGTACTTGGGTGTTTGCAGTTCGCAGCAAGCACAGTGTGGAGCTCTTGCACCCACTCTCTTCCAGTGCTGTGTTCAGTTGTCTTCTTTACGCTTCTCTCGCCCCACCACCCAAATTACAAACTTCCTGATGAGCTGGTGACACTTCTCTAACAAGAGAGGCTGATGTTTGCATCAGGTTTACCTCCTGAAGGGCCTCGGCTGCTCTCCCCACGCCACCCTCCCCACAGCCTCTGCCTGGCTGCTTCCGCTGGTTGGGAAATACCCTGAGAGCTTTGCTTCTTCATCCCCTGATTCAGCCACTCGGCTGCAACAGGGTGAAAGATGATTCGTGCTGTTAGGAGAGTGTGAGAGTGCTGCCTGGTTGAAGATGCAGGTGAGCGGGTGCTCAGAGCTGTGTTTCAGGTTACAGCTTCATCTGCGCTTGCACCCTTCTGCCATCCGGCCTGCATTTCCTTTCCCTTTTGTATATTAAACAAGATATACTGCATCTTTTCTTCACCTTTCCATCTGTTCACAGGGTAGAGCCCTTCTTTCTTGAGGAAGGAGCTGGGCATCTTGGGGCTGATGCTGTGAACAACTGACTGTTTCTATTGCTTCCCAGGCAGTGTTGGTGACAGTAGCGTCAAAGCGATGCTGCTAGTAAAGAATAAGGAAATAAAGAGATTAATCCTGGCTTTAAGCTGAAATAGGGTAGATTTAAGAAGTTCTTTACTATGAGGGTGGGAAGGTGCTGGCAGAGAAACTGTGGCTGCTCCATCCCTGGGGCCAGGTTGGATGGACTCGGAGCAACCTGCTCTAGTGGAAGGTATGCCTGGCAATAGCAGGGGGTTGGAACTAATGAGACCAGTTTCACAACATTTACAACACTAAAAGTTGGGGTTTTTCTGTACTCCTTAGTGATCATATATTTTGTACTCAAAAGAAACACTTAACACCCGTAATACCATTCCCTTTTGAAACGTAGCTGTTGCTTCACAGCATGCAACTCCACTACACAGAGCTCTGGATGGAAATGAATGCTACTGTGTCTAACTGTATTTAGGTGGGTATAAACAGTTGCCAAATGAAAAGTTGGCTAGGATGCAGCATAGTAATTTCTTGAGCACTCTATTCATGTTGTATAAACAGATAACGTACTTGTGAAAGAGCTACAATTAAGGCGTGTGGGGTTTACAGTAAGAAGGCTCAGTAATAGGGCTCAGTAATAAAGTTTCAGGATCTTGGCTTCCTGTTGCACCTGAAAAAAAGACATCAGCAAATACTGTAGAGGAGAAATGAGAAGTTGGTCTTGTACAGCTCCCAGCTGAAACTTTCCCACAAGTAGTTTTACTATAAATAAGAAGTGAAAGAGTTCACAGCTAAATTTAACCCTTAGCTTGATTGCTTTCTGGGTTTTCTTGGGTGGACCAGGCTGTGGAACTGTAGGAAGATGAAGGGGATCAATAACTTGGGTTTATACTCTAAAAATGCATTGCCTTCTAATTCCTAAGCCTCATCAAAGGGAAAATCATCGCTGATTGGAATTCCCCTCTCCTTCCCATGCAAAATGATGATTTTTGAAAGGAAGGAAGTGAATGTTACTTCTTGGGGAACTTTTCAAGCAGAAGAGCTTACAGCTACCAGAATTCTAACCGAATATGTTGCTGGTGTACTAGAGTGCATAGACATCGCTTGCTCTGCTTTCAGATACTCAAAGTTACCATTCCGGAAAATCCCTTTCAGTTTGACTTCATTTCACAATTTCTATGAAGTTAAGCAACTGCAGCTCATGTAAGCTACAAGAGTTGAAGAAAAACCACCCCAAGGTGCTTAAAACTAAGGGCTGCTGCTGATAGCTTTGGCGTTATTCCCCCTCTAAGGCTTGGGTGAGGGAAAGGCAGCTTGGTTACATGACTGAAGAAAGCCTTAGTGAAGGCAGGTGAGCCCTGTATTTCTGTTCTTCTGACTTAAAACTGAGCTTCAAGTCGTGCTGAACGAGCTGCAGAATCTGCATGCCCCTTTCCAGCTGCACAGGGATCTTTTTACTTCTCTTTATACATTTAGACCATAAGACATGCTGTGGTTGAGGAGTGAGAGTTAAAAGGAGGACGTTTGGGCAGGGTCTCCAGTAACGTGTTCAGCAGCTGGGGGTGCATGGCAGCACGTGGGTTTCCTCTTGACTCTGTGTTTTACAACTTTCCTTTGGGAATTGAAATGATGGGGGGGGAAAAACAGCCCTGATTTAACAATTATATAAACTTGAGACACAGATTGTCAGGGAGTTGTCCAGAAAACACAGTCCCTGTTCTTCTCAGGCTGTTATTAACGGTAGTCAACAATTTCTCCATCACACTACCTCGAGTATGTATTTATTTCTAGAGCAACCCTCACACTGGAGCCAGGGAACCCATAAATCCTGTGGCAACGTTGGTTTGAAATGCCTTTGAGAAATGCAGCTTGCCCAGCCTCATAGCACTCGTGTTTCTGAAGCCTTACTTGGGAAGAAAGCGCTATCTTGCTGGGGGAACAGGGGGGAAGATAATTAGCTGCTGAGGTCATTGTTTGCTTGAGCTGGGATGATAGGGACAGCCCGGCCTGGCTTCTACTATAAACATAGTGTAAAATGTTTATCACCAGCTTTGTCATTTGCCTTATTTGTCAGGGAATCTCGAGGAGAATGAGGAGGTTTCTGGTGCTGCATAGTGAGTTGAGGGAGTTGCGAGATTGCCATAAAAAGGCAGAGTCCCTGCTTGGGCAGGCAGAGAGGTTCTGCCTTGGCAGGCGTGTGTTAGGCCTGACCTTTTCCAGAGAGAAAGTACTGACCTACATCCTGTCCTGCTGGGGGTGGGTGGGAGAAAGAAACCTCTCTGCTTGCATCTTTCTGATGTAATTTTCTGGTCTGATACTCATTGTTTTCTGCTGTAAAATGTGGAGAATGCAGGGGACAGGCAGCTGGGAGCGTGTGTGTATGGCTGCGCTCTGTTTGTGCCATGCTGTAGTCATCCTCTCCAAGCCCCAGCAGGCTAACAGGTCCAGCTTTGGGCATCTCATATATACTTAGGCTGTAAGAGCGGCCAGCTAAACTTGTAAAACCCATACATAGCTGTTACTAAAGAGCTTTTTGCTCTCAGGAGTACTTGGAGAAGGGGAGAGCGTTGCTGCTTTCAGAAGACAGGGTCATACATTTGTACCCTTTACAAATTTAGGGTAAGCTTTTAACTCTTGGCTCTTTTCCTGCTTTCCAGGTCGTCGCTATTTGAACAGACCACACCATGCGTGAGTACAAGCTAGTGGTCCTTGGTTCAGGAGGTGTGGGGAAGTCCGCTTTGGTGAGTTGTGGGAAGTGGTACCCAAACTTCATGCATTGTCTGCAATGAGATAAGCCCATTTTATTCAATTCATTGGGATATTTGTGTAGCGACTTCCATGTAGCTGCTGTTGCACTGCTGTGAATGTGTGTCATGGTTTTGGAGAAGCAGCAGGCAATCGCTGTTACAAGAGTTAGCATTTAGTTTCTGCTTCCTGCATGGGTATAATACTGTAAATGACTGGATGGCTATGTCTAAGTATTAAAAGCCTAACCCACACTAAAACAGCAAGTGAAGTGTGGCCATGCATGGCAGTGAGTTAGGGGGTAGTTGCAGCCTTGCATACCTTGAAGGCTGTGTGTTTGCCATCCTGGATAGGACCTGAGTGAGCAGCCTGGGCTGAAAACAAGAAGTCACCTCCATCGTGTGCAGTGCAGAGGGCTAAGAACAGAGTGATGCCACTTTGCACTCCTTAAGTGCTTGTGTTGTTTCTAGTAAGAGGTTTACATAGCAGAGTTGATAGTAAAGCATTGTAAGAGAGATTTCTGTCACCTATTTATCACTAATCAGTCAAGCAGCTCACTCCAACAAGAAAGGCAAAGAACTGGTCAAGTGTAAAGTTATCTAAAACAAAGGAGCTGCACTGTGTTCCTTTTCACAGCAGATGATAATAGCTGACCAGCCCTTTATGTTGTAGACACTGCTTCTTGCACTGTTTGTTCTGCTGAAATGAGCTCCTAGTAATCTTGGTATCCAGATTGGTATGCAGAATCCAGATGAACATGAGGAAAGATTATGCAGTTAGCTGTCATATTTGCTGTACTCTCTCAGGGACCCCTTCCTAATCTTTACAAGATGTAGGTGTAAAATTGTTCTTCTAAGCAATCTGTATTGCTTTTTGCACCAGCATCCCCTTGATTATCTTGCTTTTGTTATGTGGTGTTTTACTCACTAGGTAAAATAAGGCACTTATGCTGTACATAAAAATTACTCAGCATCTGACATCCTTGAATTTCATTACTTGTGATGTGCAGTCTGAGTCAGCATCCATCACTGGCCTTTTCAGTAGCTGAAATGCAAATACTCAGTCTGGTAAACAGAAGTGAAATTCTTCTTGACAACTTAGGTGCTAAGTAAGCATATATTGTAATTCATATGCAGCATGGATCCATTGTGTTTATAACAGCACACAGTAAGTGCCAATTAGTAGCTAAGAGTGAGTAATATTTAGCTTTGAAGGTGACTGCCTACTTATTCAAAAGCATTAGCAAGGAGAGGTTGCAAGGTGGGATTTAAAATCATAGAGAGGTCACTTTAAAATGCCTTTCTTCGAGCTGTAGACGCTAAACTGTCTAACAAAGAGGCTGGTGTTCAGCTCTGTGTTTTCATTGAGAGCATAGATTACAATATGGTGTTGTTTCACTGCAAATCCTCATTACTGCTTTAACTCTTCTGTGCCAGTCGATGCTGATTGTGCCTTTGGGTAATGATGGCAGGGTAGCAGAAAAAACTTCACAGGTATTAAGGCACAGTTACTTTGCAATTTGTTTCCTGTATGGTATTTTTCTCCCCATTTCTAATAAGGGTAAATATCTTCTAGAGTATCAGTGGGTAAATGGTATTGCCAAGTGTATCCAGGTGTCTTACATACAGTTAACAGTGGTATCTTACAATGATTTTGCTGAGATTTGTTATCTAAAGGGCAAGCTGGGACAACCCTTCAGTGTGACAAGTAAATACTGGAGAAGCAAAGGCTTTGATCATGAGAGTGTAAGGTAGGTTTATTTAGTGATAGAGGATGATTTTTAAATGAGGTAGTACTAGAAATCCTTTCTTCTTATGTTAAAAGAAAGCAAACAGTGAGGAACTGCTCAGTTGCCAGCACACAGCGAGATGTTCTGCATGTATCTGGCATGTGACCCTCTGAAAGCTTGCAAGCACTTGGGTGACAGATGTGAACCCTCTTGCAGAAAAATCTCAGCCTTCTGACCAAACAAAACACAGCTCAAACCAGGTAGTGACTTTGCAGGATTTGTATTAAAAGCCTTGTTTGTGGTTTTAAAGACATAGAGTTAAGTGCTGGGATCTTAGCACTTAGTTTTACAGACCAAAACCACCTTGGTTTACAACCATCAGCCATACCTGGGACACCAGTGTGCTGTATTGCTGCCTTAGTGTAGATAATTGTAGGTAGGAAGGTGGAGAAATGGGGTGAGAAGGAACAAAAAGCTTTGCCTTGCAGAGGATAAGTAAAGCTGCAGAGTGACAGGAGCCAAAGCAGGTTGTGTACAGAGCTTGGACATCCAGAGATGGGCCATGTCCAAATGACAACCTGATGGGAAGTGTTTAGAGTAAATGGGCTCTGAATAAGTACAAAGGGGAAGAAAGGCTTCCTCTTTGAAACGAGTGATGTCTCCTCCTTTAATGGGTTAATACAAATTGAGTAGCTGGAGACACTCCAGATTTAACTTGCTGCTCTGAAATATGTCTGTGCTCTGGGCATGTAATCCAGAGTAGCTCCACAGAACTCTGCTGTGATTTGCATTGAAATGTGGATTTTCCACAGTATGCAGATTGCCTGTTCTTCTGATTGAATTTCAAGCCTTCCAAATTTAGTGATTTTTGTTCTTCTGAAGTCACAGGCACTAAAAGAAAGGCATTTTTGAGGGTAGCATCTTTTGTGAACAAGCAAGCAAGCAATTTTTCAGAAAACACTATGAAAATGTGCTTGAATAAAGTGATTCTTGAGACAGGAAGTACACGAATTTTATATAAAAGAAATGAAAACTTAGGTCTTTTTCTCTCCTTCTCTCTATTGAATTTTCACAGTGTTGAGTAGTTTTTGTGATGTTACTCTCTCATAAAGCGTTTCTCCATCAATGTTACTGATTGTGCTCAGTTCACTTAATTCTTTCCTTCTTTCCTTTCTCCCCAGACTGTACAGTTTGTTCAGGGAATATTTGTTGAAAAATATGATCCAACAATAGAAGATTCATACAGAAAGGTAAAATAACAGCGTTTGTATTTCTTTCAACTCTGATAGAGCTTGCTCCTCTTTAACAATGCAGCAAGAGCTCATTGGAATGAGGAAGGCTCTTTTCTGAGAACGTCTTACGGCTGCACAGCATTGCAGCAGCAAAGTGATGTGTAGAAAAGCATCAGCCTTGGAAATGGTTTCATGCAGATAGTTTCCTCTGGCTTTATGGAGTACTTCACTAGCTTAGTTCTATTTATCAGGAGGATTAAATCTCTGTTACTGCATATAACCAAGAGCTTTCACTCTCAGTCTTCGATGGCTCAACTTAAGGCTGTTGGAGGCTGCAGCTCTCCACTCTGTGTGTCTTCACTTGTACTGGGGTGCGAGCTGTATTGGCTGGCAGGCAAGTGTACTGCCCATCTTCTGCCAGTGCTGGTTAATGCCTGGGGATAGGAACAGCTCAACCAAACAAGGGGCAGACTGCCACTCAGATCTGTTTGCTGTGATTTGACATAGAATTATTACTTCAAAACATAAAGGTACCAATATTTGCGATCTGTAGAAGTTGCTACAGGAGATCTGTCTACCGTGGCTGCTTGCCATTTAGTTCAAATGCATTCTGCCTTGGAGCCATATAAAATTCTTTGTGGCTGTTTTGGATGCAGGCTTGTAATGCTGAGCAGAAGTCCTTGTCAGCATCCCTGACACTGTCACGTTATGCATTTCTATCAACAGAGCTGCTTTCTTCACTCCACTGATGTCAAGTAACGCATTGTTTTACACATTAGCATTAGTGCTACCATAATTAAAGGCACCAAAACATGAAACAAAAACTGGTGACATTTGTGCCTGTGAAAATTAAATGTAAATTGTGATCTGAGTTCTGCTGTTAAATTTATCTCGCTTCCCTGGAATGAACCTTGTTGCATCTGAGACATTGCTCAGTGAGTGGAAGATTTGCTAAGCCAAACAGTGAGGATCACTAAACTTTTTGCTTTGTCTTTTCTTCCTCACTCCCTTCATCCCAGCAGCAAAGAAAAATGGAAGTTTAATGTCCTTTGAGTTTTAGGGTGGATTGAGTTGTTTATGACCTCACTTAAGTTGAGATGTTTACAATGAGTGGCTCATCTAAGCCCTTATAATCACCAGAGTCCCGAAGCATAAGTGAGCTGACCCAAATGCCTGGCTTGGGGTATAACTAATCCTCTAATAGCAGCTCCTCTTAGCACTTAAGGGAAGTGCAGGGGCTGGCTTTGTGGTACAAGTATAAATAAAGCTGAGATTCCTCTTGCCTGTCCTGTTTCAGTTTTAACTGTCTCTCCCCTTTTATCTCCAGCAAGTGGAAGTAGACTGTCAACAGTGTATGCTTGAAATCCTCGATACAGCAGGGACAGTAAGTACCATTCCTTTTTCTAATGGGTATGGAGTGTTCAAGGCCAGGTTGGACAGGACTTGGAGCAAGCTGCTCTAGTGGAAGGTGTCCCTGCCCGTGGCAGGGGTTGGAACTAAATGGGCTTTAAGGTCCTTTCCAACCCAACCCAGGCTGGGATTCTGTGCAGTAATTTAAATTGAATGATTTTGTTAAATAATCCAAACCCCCAGTGTGGTGAGAGCTGCCTGCAGCCCTGCCAGCAACACAGTGAACCCATTCCCCAGCTAGTGCCTTAGTGCTGGGACATAAAGGTTGGTGGTTCCCCTGCCCGTCACCTCTTCCCTGCCATCCGCCATCATCTCACTATCGATGTGCTGACACAGAATCATTTTACATGTTAATTTTGCAAGTGTCCAAAATACAGAGACACACTGAAGCCACTTCCAGGCAATGCATAAGGATTGCCTCCTCAGCCTACATGGGGAGGATTTCAGAATACTCCTTACTGTGGTGGCATCTCCCTGTTTTTGTTTTATGCTGCTTGAGGCCAGTGTCCTCCCAGCCTGCAGCCAGGGCTGTGCTGCAGCTCCTTTTGCCATACCAGTGTTACCACCATCCAAAATCCTGCTGCTAAACAAAGAGCCCTGTAATGGTTGAGTGCCCATCACAGGGGAGGACATGCTTCCTAAACGTTTTTATTTAGAAAGCTTTGAAAATAACCAACAGCAATGCAAAGGCGTGGAAGCAAACATCGTTACGTGGTTCTGGTAAAGCTTCCTTTGACAAGCTTGGACAAAGGCAGCTCTCATCTGGTACAGAGTTTCCGGCCTGCTTTTGCATTTCATTGCATTGAACCTTTAAGCCATTTTCATGCTAGGAACGAGTAGCATATAGTTGTGTATGTTCAGAGGTGAGCAGGCAGTGCCTTTCCACCCTGTTGTGCTCACAATTGAACAGTGAGGCTGTGACACTGAGGCCTATTCCAGTATCGTGGTAGAGCAGGAACTGAATTTCTACTCCATGTCTGTTGCCTGGGGAAACTGGTCTGATGGCAGACTTGTGTTTAACACCATAGCAGAAGATAAATGGAAGAGCACTACAAAATATGTCAGCTAAATCTTAACACCTTGTGTTATGGCTTGGGGCATACAGCAGTCTGTAGAGATGTAGTTTTATTGCTGCTTTTGGTCTTTTTCCCATTTTTTCAAGGAGCCTTTATCTCTGTTGGGAAGAAGAAAACCAAAGGAAAGGGATGTGTTGATGCTTTTATTAAATTTGCATGCTTTGGTGGATTTCTGTAAGGGGTAAAATGGAAATGCATATTGTACAGTACCGTATTCTTGCCTCCATTACCATAAAAGTATTCCTTTGTAAATGTTCATTAACTGCATTCAGTAGCTAATTGCTCTTAAAACTGTTTGATTACAGGAGCAGTTCACAGCAATGAGGGATCTCTATATGAAGAACGGCCAAGGGTTTGCACTAGTATATTCTATAACAGCACAGTCCACATTTAATGACTTACAGGACCTGCGGGAGCAGATTTTACGGGTTAAGGACACTGAAGATGTAAGTAGAATGGTTTTTCTTCTGCAAATGGTATAAGTGTGTTTGTAAGTAAACTTGCAGGGATTTGTGAGCAGGATTTCCTTCTCAGAATATTCTTTGCTGTACAGCAAAGTTTTATACTGAAGTAAGTTTTCTTAGTGGTGTTGGTTGTTTCCAGTGTTGTTATTTGAGGTCCAGCACCTGCTAAAGGATATAATGAACCCAGATTTTCTCATTTCCAGACTTCCCTGAAGTCTAAGAGTCTTTGGGAATGGTGGGAGTTGATGGAGAGCAACTTCTCAGCTGTTGACCAAACTCTGCTTTTATGGGATTTTGGATTATTGTGTGAAAATACACGTATCCCTTTTCTGAAGGAAAGGAGGATGCTGAAGGGTTAGTGGGTCTGTTGCTCCCATGACAGGCATGCGTGAGCAGGGAGGGTTCAGCTTTGCACGATGGACCTGTATGTCCCTGTGAATGGTACTGGTACTCTGCAGACCACCCTCACTGTCCAAGGCTTTTAAACTCTCAACAGTTTTCTTTGTTCCTTCTGCCTCTTGACAAGGTCTGTAACCCAGAGGATGAATGAATTAAATCATTAAGATACTCTGAAAGAGTCTTACCTACTGATGCAAGGAATCCCAGCCTGATTTGGGTTGGAAGGGACCTTAAAGCTCATCCAGCTCCAACCCCTGCCACGGGCAGGGACACCTTCCACTGGAGCAGCTTGCTCCAAGCCCCTGTGTCCAACCTGGCCTTGAACACTGCCAGGGATGGGGCAGCCACAGCTTCTCTGGGCAACTTCTAAGTAAGGAAAAGTGACATTAAGACAGTTTGCATCCAGTCCTGTTTGGCAGAACAAAACCATTGACTGTATTTCCAGTTTGGGCCCCAGCTCCTGTAACTGGAACTCTTTGGCTTTTAATTTCTTAAGCGTGTGATGTAGTGAGGCTGGAGGGAGCCCTGTGGCTGGTGGAGATGTGTGGGAACTCTCTATAGGTAGACTTCCTCCAAAAGAAGTTGAAGTTATTTTTGCCTACCAGCTGGTAACATATTCAAAGGTTTGCCCTGAGGATTGTGGAAAAGATTGCTTGGTTTTTTACACTGAGAGCTTAAAGGTAGCTGATGCCTTTGACATCAATTGCTTTGGGTTGCGTTGGTGCTTGCCAGTGGGGTTGTGGAAGCCGCAGCATCCTCTTTGCTCACAGCCCTTGCCTCTGTGCAGCCCTCCTGCACTGTAAAATGGGCAAACAGGGCAGGGACATGAATTTAGGCCAAATCCTCACTAAGCCATGTGTATTGTATTTAAATAGGCATTCAGGAAAATGCAGTTTGAGCAATGAGCTGAGCGCACCAGGGTGGGATGAACCCAGCCCGCAGTTCCGTTCCTCTGGGGCTGAAGCACCCTCCCCACGCTGCTGCTTTCCCTTGGATCTTCTTTGCCCCGTATCCTGATTACCTTGTTTTGAATGGCTTTGGTTCCCTCCTTCGTTTAGCAAGCTGAACCTCTATTTATGCAAAACTGATTTCCATTTAGGTAGGGATTATGCTTGCATAAATCCCTGGTAACACGAGTCCTTTATTAGCCTCCCATCAGAGCCCAGCGCTTGGCTCGGCTGCGCTCGCCGGAGGGGAATTTGCACCGTAAGCTGGTCAAGTTCATTGGGCAGCAGGGACTTGCTTTCGTTTTTACTGCAGTGATTCGATTTAATGATTAAAAGGCATTTCTGGTTTGTGTTAGGGGGGATGTTACTTGTTGAATCCAAGCCTGAGAGCCCTTTGAACGTTTCAGCTGTGTTCTGCTGAGTTAGGCAAACACACTCTTTCCTGCAGTTTCAGAACATGTCTCTTAAAACCTTAGTACTTAAGCCATTAAGTTATGTACATCTAACAGAGTTTAAATTCCAGGCTTCTGCATGAAATGGTAGAGGATCAAAAGCTAGTTGTTCATCAAACTCTGGTTTTGACTCTCTAATAAACAATTACTACCTTTTGAAATAACCTCACACAGTATTTCAGGTCTTTCAAACCTGTCCTGTTCAACCATCTAAATATCACCTTTTTTTTCCTCTATTATTTTACATGTTAACATGTGAAAATAATGTTAACATATTTATATTTTGGTGTCAGAGAATTTCTCTTAACTGTCTAGGCAACTGTAGAGAATGGGGTTAAGTGATAAATATCCCGTTGTTTTCTGATGTGAAATAAGCTGCTTTTGGCTTTGCCTCATTTGTATTGTGACTTCAGGTTTCTAATATAATAAAGAAACCTTATTTTCCCCAAAATAAAAGTGTGGTCATTTTCTAATCAGTACAGCTGTGAGCTTTAAATACAAAAATGGATCTGGAGCGTAGTTGAATCTGGAAGAGACTTCAGATATGAACATTTGAGTCGATTGAAAACATACAGCATGTTGTAAATTGCCAGAGGAAGTGGATGATGATTTATTTTCCAGCTGGAAAGTACTCATTTTCTGTTCAAAGAATTAAATGCTTCAGGAAATGGAGCTGGGTGCACACCCATTATCAGCAGTTCTTTTCTGCTTCTACATAGCATAAGGGAAACAGGATGCTGTTGTGTGCACACAGAGCACCACAGTGCGTCCTGCTCATCATCTGTGGTCTCATGCTTCAGAATCCACCTTTGCTCTGCCTGTTTCATCCCCTGAGGTCTGTGAGATGCAGGTCGTCAAAGCAAGCTCCAAAATCCATATGTAGCCCCCAGTTCTCAGGCATAGGAAGTGAGAAGGGCAGGTGTTCTGATGCACAGGGCTATGGGGGTTCTTGGCTGCACAAGAATATTCCTTTTCATTCCCTGTCCAAGGCAGAGCTTTTCAAAGGTGTTTCCATTTATTGTTGTGTGGTTTGACAGCAGGTTGACAAGACAAGTCAAAGGGCTGAAACATCCAGTGTGTGTCTTCAGACACGTGCTGTATGTGCTGTTGACTGAAATGGGCTAAGTTGGCAGGCAGTTTAGTGTCCTGTGACATGAAAGTCATGGAACCATAGAATCAAATAGTTTGGAAAAGACTTTTAAGATCATGAAGTCCAACCTTCCTACGTGTCAGTATTAGGTTGTTTTTTACTAGAATGATGTTGGATGTAGAGACCTGAAGATAAAACTTTACTGGTTGAAGATTGTGCTGAAATATGACTGTTGGGTTTTATAGTGTCCCCTATGTGTTTAATTCTTAGTGAACCAGTGTGTCAATAGTATGGACTTAGTTCAGCCTTTTCCCAGCAGACATCTAAATTCCACTCTAGCCTGTCAGCTCTCCTCTCTCTCTCATTTGTATTGGCATTCATGCTGTCTGTATTACCCTTCTCGCATGCCTTTGTAAGCCACAATGTTGTCCATGAAATTGCTGATGTATCTCTTGTTCTTGCTTGTCTCCTCTCCAGGTTCCAATGATTCTGGTTGGCAATAAATGTGACCTGGAGGAAGAGCGTGTAGTCGGCAAAGAACAGGGTCAGAACTTAGCAAGACAGTGGTGTAACTGTGCCTTTCTAGAATCATCTGCAAAGTCTAAAATCAACGTTAATGAGGTAACTACCGGCTGCTCCTTTGTCTTTCCTACTTCGGCATGAACGCTGCATTAAATCAGCATGAGATCCTTCATATGTTTCTTAATTGGGAAGATTCAGGATGGCTCTGAAGTCTCAGCTTAACAAAGGCTGTGATGCAGTGTATTTAGCTACTGCTTTCTGTTTGTTCTAAGGGGATCTGCTCCTTTTTCTCTGTAAAGGGTGGGTGACTTCTCCAGGTAAGTGCTTTCTGTGGCCTGTGTCGGGGGACATGAATAACAGAGGGTCCTGAGCAAGCCCAGTTAACTGGATGACTCTTATCTTAGATAAACTTTATCTGGAAAGTATACTTTTTCAAGATAGCTGCTGCTGCTATTCAGAACATGGGTTATGCCCCATTGTACTTGTCATGTTGCATGGTGTTGGCTGTTGTTTTTGAAGTATTTGCTTTTCATATTCCTGCTACGTCTGGCTGCTCAGGCAGGCATCCCATCAGAGACCTCCTGTGGCACGCCACTAACTTACTGAGAGTGCATGCAAGCATCTATCTGTCTAAGCATTTCCCTGTGTCTAAATGAGAAACACCTTTGCAGCTGGCGTGCCTTCTGCTGCTGCCTGGGGTGGCTCAGCTCTGTTAAGGGAGCTCTGCTTGCCATCAGGCACCAAGTTTTTATGCTCTGCTCTGAATTATCTGACTGTGACAGAGGCCAGGTTTCCAGCCACAAAAGCTAAGGTGACCCTACTGAGCATAGCAGGTTTGGTGCCAGGAGATAACTGGGACCGTTGAGGAGGCTGTGTGATAAGCAGGAGCAGTAGGATCTTGGACCGGACCCAGCATTAACTTGGCAGCTGGTGGGACTTGCGCAGCTCTGTATCTACCCTGTTGAACAGGGAGGGAGCTCCAGGCTGCATGAATTGCATCTTCTGTGGTTGGGATTAGCCTTGCTCTAGTGTACACTAATCTAACCTGGTAAATATAGCTCGCTGAGCTAGACTCCTGCCAGGAGGGATTTCTGTGTCTGAGCTGTAACGAAACTGAGTGCTAATGAAGAAACTAGCGGCTCAGTCCCCAAACACATCACCGTGGAGCAGAACAAACTGATTTACTTGTATTTCCACAGTTTGTGGCAGAGGCTGACCTCCCATTAGCCAAAAGTGCCTTAAAGCTCCTGAGAGTTGTGTGGGAGAAGGGGTTCTCCAGGAGGCAGAACACAGAGCTGTCCTGAGGCAGTGCATGCCTGTAGCTTACAGCCATCCATAACGTGTGAATCCTGTGTCTGTCTGTTTCCCTGTCATGTCTCTGCCTCCAGTGAGGCTCGGATCAGAAAGAAGGAAATTATTATCTGGAAGATTGGGTTCTGGTTTTATTGTGATCTTAATTTTTTTGGTTTTATACCAATTTATATTGTCTAATTATGAAAAGCATAAAAGCTGAGGAAATCAAAGAGGAGAAACGCCATGAATCAAGCAACTGACTCTGCTGGTTATTCATTTGTTCTGCTGGTTGCTGGACTGGGGAAGTGTTTTCCAGTATTTCCCTACTTTTGCACTTCTATCTTTGTTAAAATCCAGGTGAAAGGGAGATTTCTGTGTGCATTTGGTGGGATTGAAGCAAGCCTTTCATCAAGATGCTAAGCTTTTACTGCAGAGTTGATCTCAGTAGCAGCCCTTCAGATGTCTTTTTGGTGACGTGTGTGATGGTCTTAAACCACACTGACTCTTCTTAGGGACAGTGGCATTCCTGAAACCTTATTACAGACTTCTGCACTCCTAGTGCTAGCACTTAAATGATCTAACTTATGTTTTCAGAGCGATTTTTCCCCTACTTTAGCCCTGGAAAGTGAGAAGGTTCTACCTCAAAACATTCAAGGGTCTCATCTGCTGGAGCATAGGTGGTTGGTGCTTTCAGACAGTGACTCGTCCTGCACATCGTAATCACATTCAGATCATCTTGGCTCTTGTTTATAAAGGCTTAAATACTGAAAGCTGGTTTATACCAGCAGAGATGCTGTCGCTTATTAATTGGTTTCTTCCCCAGAAACTATCTCTTTGTACCTTATCTTTGCTATGTCCGTTGGAGAGTGCAAACTGCTGGTTTTGCTGATAGCAGAAAGCAGCAGCAGTAAGCTTAGGAAAGGAACTGTATTTTACATAAGAGCTTGATTAAAGCCACCATCACGTTCATTTCCTTTGAAACTCTTAACTCTGCACCAGTTAGTGTGTCAGAAAACCTTAGGTTTCCAGTTGTTGCCATTTCTTCTAAACCGTTTCTTTGTCTTCTGCATGTCCTTGGAATCAACAAGTATTTGTGAGCTGTCAGCCACTCCAGGAAGGAAAAAAGTAAACAAGGACAAGGGTGGAGCCTTCTGAAGGTTTGAATGTTTCTCCTCAATACCATGACCTGGCTCCAAGCGTTTTTGCAAAGCTCATTTTGCTATAAATGGGTTGAGTATTGCTGGGAAAACAACTCGCAGCAGAAGTGTTCCCAAGAAACCCGTCCCTGCAGCTGAAAGAGGCCCTTGTAAGCATCCCCTTCTGGAAACACCGGAGTTCAGAGCACATGTTTTGCTTCTCCTTGGTTATTTTATTACTAAACCCAAAAGGGCAGGCAAAGAAGTGAGGTGGTTACAGCTCCAATGTGTTTGGCAAAGAGGCAAATGAACAGTGCATCCTATGCAGCGGGTGTATGAAGACCATTTTTGAAGGTAGAAGCCAAGGAAGAGGGATGCCTTTCCCTACAGAGAGAACACGCTGCTGGCCTAGCAGCACTCTGCAGAGAGGATGATCCTTGAGGATGTTATTGATGTCTTTTAAAAGACATTTTGTCCTTCCCCAGTTTTTCCCCACTTTTCCAAAGCGAGGGATTTGTTGCCATTTCATTGCCATCCTCTTCTGAAGCGTTTGGTCATGCACAGCCTGAAGGAGAAAGCTGTGTGCTGCAGGATGTGAGTTTACAGCTCCCTCATATTCTGCACACTGATGTGAGCTCTGTGCTCTCCTGTTCCATAAAAAGCATGGAAAAACCATGTTTTAGGAAATGCAAGCAGTTTAATGGAATTTCTCCGGCGCCCCCAGGAAGGAGTATCAGCTTCCAGGTTTGGACGCTTGCATCATGTTTTATCACTTTGATTTTTCAGTTTGTGTTTTTCATTTTCAGATCTTCTATGACCTGGTCAGACAGATAAATAGGAAAACACCAGTGGAAAAGAAGAAGCCTAAAAAGAAATCATGTCTGCTGCTCTAGAGTCCCATTGTGCAGCAGCTCTGAGCCAGGTAAGAGCTGTCTGAGTTCTACCTAGAGCTCGGGCAATCAGATCCCAACAGAGAGAGGACTCACTCCTCTTCCTTCCCTCTGCTGACAATTGCAAGTTGAAAGGGTGGGACATGGATTTCAATGCATAGAAATAAAAAGTTGCCCACCCCAAAAAATCCAGGCCAAAACGAAACCAAAAAACCATCCCCAGGTTGGACACGGCTATAAATAATCTTCCTGTGTATCTTGGCAGGGTACTTGGTGTGCTTACAGCTGCTGTTCTGTTGCACTCCTTAAAGGAAACAGCATTTCTGTAGCTTCAGGTTTTAGGGAGGAATAACACCTAGGCCTGCCCTATGAGCTGTTAGTGTGTCTGAGCTGAAATTCATGCTGGATATGGCCATTTCTGTGGCCTAGCTGTGACTGAGTAGGGTAAGTGGAGCTAAGCAGTTAACTTGGCTTCTGATGACTTCTGCTTTACTTATTGAGAAGTCTCTTACCTTGAGCTTTGAATGCCAGAAAATAATAGCTTAGGGTTGTAGGGAAACAATGGCTTTAGGAAAAGAAATTGAAGAACAGTTCTTAAGAGGCTTTTCCTGTTCCTTAGGTGATAGATGTGAATTTAGTATTCAAGGCCAGGTTGGACGGGGCTTGGAGCGACCTGCTCTAGTGGAAGGTGTCCCTGCCCGTGGTAGGGGTTGGGACTGGATGAGCTTTAAGGTCCCTTCCAACCCAAACCAGTCTGGGATTCTTTGATCTACTCTAGATGGTCAGAATATTTCAGGGTCTCCCTCATCCTTTGTAAATCTCTGCCCAGTTCGTTGCCTGCTTGTTACAGGTGGAGCAGGGCCTGGGGAGGTCTCCAATTCATTAGATGTTAAGAACATCTCCTACATATAAAAGACGAGAACTCTCTCCCACCAATTGTGCATCCTTTGCTGAATTCAAACTGCACTTGAAGGCTGTGCCTGGTGGATTGGAAGGGCACTTTCATTATCACAGCAGAAAGCCAGGGTGGGGGCTGTCTGTCACAGCTCTGCTGCAGCCACGATAAAACAAGAGCTTGTTGTTGGGAGTTAATAGTTTCCAAAGTCTTTTCTTGCTGTACTTGTGAACTCAGAAGGTGGCAGGAGCAAACACCAGCACTGGGGGGGAAGATAAGCTCTTCCTGCTGAAATGCTGTGTGGTTTTACTAGCTTGGATGCAGGCTTCAGACCAGTATTTGAGCTCATTCATTTCATCCATAGTTTGAGAAACATCCCTCCTCCATCTATGTTTCACATCAGTTTTTCACTTTCCCTAGATTGCAGGAATGAAGAACTGTTGCCTACATGGAAAGTGCCAGCATTCCCAACTTCAAACCCTTATGGAAATGAATCACATATCTGAAGAAGCTTCTCCTGTTTTTTTATATACTATGAGAAGAATTGAGATCTTAACCTGGTTTGCACACAGTCCCTTGGGAAAAGAAATTGCTCTGTGTATATCTCTTGGAAATTTAAGACAATAGTACTCCTCCTTTGCAATAGCAGTTAACAGAAGTGAACATAAATATCATTGACTCTAGTGTCTGATTATACAAAGGAGCATGGATGCATTTCAAATGGTAGATATTGCTTCTATAATTAAAACTTCATATTGACCATTTTCTCGTCATTTCTCCCCATCAAGCACTAAAAATGTCCCACCATTATATTTTATATCTGTAACTATAGATCTCTATTCCCCGAAACTTCCCTTTGCACTCACTGCAACAAATAACTTTTTGAGTCATTGACTTCATTTTATATTTAAAAGTTTCCAGAATATCATTATTTTCATTCTGCCATTATATTCTAATTAAAAATGTTTGTGCATAATGCTTTGGAAAAATGGGTCTTTTATAGGGAAAAAAAAAAAAAGAAAACCCTGGGATAACTGATTTCTATGGCTTTAAAAGCAAAAATATATAATATACTAAACCAACTCTAATATTGCTTCTTGTGTTTTACTGTCACAGATTAAATTACAGCTTTTATGAATGATTAAATTTTAGTACATTTTCATTTGGTTTCTGTGTTTTTGTTGCGGTTTCCAGGCTTTGGGGTTTATCTGTGTGCTGTGAGTTCCTCTTCCCTTCTAGTAGATCCTTTGTCATGACAGGTACCCCCAGTGTGTCATTAGGCTGATGCGGTGTCTTCACGCACCCTCCTTGTTGGATGTATTTCATCCCATCACGCACTCCAGAAGGCTTCTTTTAATGACTTTATTGTCTTCTTTTGAATGGTTAAAGATTGTATTCAGCTGCAAATGTTCCCTCTGTACTTTTATATGGACAAACTTGGTTTAATCCTATATCAAGGTCTGGCTTTCATCTTTGGGCTCACAGGATGCTGCGCTTTAGGGATGGAATCCCTGTGTTGACAGTGCCACCTGCCGGGCAGAAGCCCACAGTGAACCCTCCTGGTGATGCTCTCCTGGTCAGCATCTCCTCACAAAGCTGTGGAGTTGAAAGTTGGCTCTGTCTAAATACAGCTTCATAAAGCAGGTATTTGCTGTGCGGGTTTTAGGCCAAATGAAGGCGCTTTTAGTTTCATTTTGGGTTTGTTTCTTTTCACTGCCTGTTGGTTTCATAGAGTTTAAAAGAGGAGGATCTGAAGACACCCATGGGTGCTCAGCCTCCATCCTCCTGTCTATATGCAAGTAACAGAACTGCCTCTGTGACCTGTGGGGCCCAAATCCTATCCTCGGTGTGATGCTGCTGGAATTCCTGCAGTGTTGGAGGACCTGCTCCTGCTTCACTTCTGTGTAAGTGACAAGGGAAATGTATCTTCACAGTGGAGAAAACTCAGGTCGGACTTTGTCCTGGTTGTTGGAATGGGGAATCTAAATGTAAGAGGTAGTGAATGGTTCTTCCTGGGTGCATTGTACAGCTTTTTACTGGAAACCAGGGGGGAGAAATGTCTATAAATGGGTTTTCCTAAAGCTGTTTGTTACTGATGCAGCTGAATTGTAGAGATCCCAGTCTCGAAGTGCAGCCCAAGCAAGATGGGATGGAAACATTTGAATGACAGTAATGACAACATCTTCCTACTTACAAGCTACTAGGACAAACATAGTTACTTAGCTGGTTGTCTTCAACCTTCCTATGCACTTCCTTTTGAAGGAGGAGCAGAACCATGGTATTTACAGGTTGGTTATCTTTACCAAATGTAAGGCTATTGTAGTAATAAAGTGATTTTAATGTACATGCTGATTGCTAGAGGTCTCTTTTCCAGCACCAGCTTTCATTCCTGGCACCATAGGCTTAGGAGAAGGGGCTTGATGTTTGCACTTTGGAAGCTGGTTTCTGGGATGCCTGAGAGCACTCCAGTAGATAGATGGAGTTTTAGGTGGTAAAGCAATGGTTGATTGCTATGTTGGTGGCAGCGTTGTGAAGCTCACCATGTGTAGGTGATGTGTAAGTCGCTTCTTGTTGCCCTATTTGGAGCAGAGTGTCGAGGTTTGGGGTTACTTTGCTCCTTGGTTTGGATAACTTGAAGTATGATGAGCACTGCACAGGTTTGAAGGTATTTTGAGGGGGATTTGGAAGCATTTTCAGGCTTTTCACTGAAACAGATCTGAGGTGCCACTGCTGAGTCCCTGGTTTCACTGTCGCTGCTCCACGTGGGACAGTCATGGAGCAGGAATGTCTGGAATGAGACCAAGGGCCGCTGGTTGGTCACACCTCTTCTGGAGTCATGTTTTGCAGGGCGAGCTTTCGAGTTCCAGAGTTCCAGCCTGTTTTCGGTTGGAAGGGACCTTAAAGCTGGCTTTGCCACAGGTACAAAGGGAAACTTGCTGCCACAATGAGTAACCGATACCTGCAGAGCAAAGAGCTTGGAAAACAGGGCTTTGATGCTGATGGGTCTGTGGTTTGTGCAATGGATGCAGCTGCACTGGAGCGGCTTTTCCTACCCTGCTGTTGTGTGACACTCAGTGGGAGCTGCTCCCTTCCTGTGGGAGCCACTGCCCCATTTCCCTCCCCATCACCCAGAGGGGAGTCACACAGAAAATAGCTGCAGACTGCAGCCCTTTTGCATGCAAAGAGCAGCCTTGGGCTGGGCATGGCTGGGACACAGGCCCAGCTCTCTCGCAGGGACTTTGTGTTGAGAAGAGACAAAGACCCAGCACCAGGGCCATTTGGATTCAGCACCTTTCCCCCTTCTCATGCAGGCTCCTTGTCCTAGGCTCACTGTTTGAGGTTCCGGAGCCAGTGCAGATGTGAAATGAAGCCAGGCTTTCGGCACAGGGGAAGCAGGGTGTAAAGATTTCCCGTCTAGAGCCGGAGGGAAGTTCTGCTGGCACCTCTCCATACTGGAGCTATGGTAACGCAGTTGGGAGTGCTGGGGATGGATGTGGGAGCGCTGGGCTGCTGTGCCTGGTGGGAAACGTGTTATTCTGGTGATAAAAGGCTGTTAAACGTCTGCCTGCAATCCGGGTGTCTGTGCTATGGAGCAGCAACCCCAGCAGCAGCGTTCCCTGGCACCATCTATCAAATTACAAGCAGTTTACAACCAGACATAAAAAGGATAGGAGGCAATTAGCCTTTTTCTGCTTAGCAGCTCTTTCGCTTGAGGTGGTGACGGGGCTCCGTGCTTGAGCTGGGAAAGATGGGAAGGAGCAGAGAAATCCTGTTTGTCCAAGCATCACAAAGCACAGGGCTGCAATGGCCGTGGTGTCCCCATATGGGCAGTCTGGGGGGTAAAGAGTGAGGAGATGACAGCTTACAGGGGACAGTGTTGTCTATTGACAGCCAAGGAGGAGGCAGAACGCACGGGTTGCATCTATGGGAGCACACGGCTCGCCCTGCAGTTGCATTTCAGGTCTGGTTGATGGAGAAGCTTTTTGTCCAGGAGATGGTGCCAGAACCGCACAGCAGCGCAGGGATGCGCAGCCACAACCACCACGGACATCACCCCAGGGCCACTGCGGAGCCTGTGGCCATCCAGCCCCCTGTGGAGGGATGGGCGCAGATGTGGGGTGAGCGCAACAACAGCCCCGTTCTGTGACATTCCCGATGCGTGACCCACGCAGGGATGGTCCTCGGCAGGGCAGGGCACCCGCAATGGGCTGGGTGTGAGGAGCAGCCGGGGACAGGCGTCCTCCTGACCGCAGCTCAGCGCATGGCACGGCTCTGCACTCGCTGTGCCTTTGGATGGAGCCAGGCTGAGAACACTGGGGCTGCTCGGCCTGGAGGAGAGAACCTGCGTGGAGACCTCAGAGCAGCTTCCAGTGTGTGAAAGGGGCTACAAGGATGCTGGAGAGGGGCTCTTCATAGGGACTGGAGCGATAGGACACGGGGTGATGGGTTCAATACACAATAGAACCAGTTCCATCCCCAGCACCTGGTTTTGAGTTGCTCTGAGGTGCAGCACCACTGCATGGAGCTGCTTTAAGCACTGAGCATTGTTCTTCACTATGGTTTGGGTGTTGAGCTCTATGGAGGCAGAGCATTGACAGGAGAAGCAGAGCAGGGCCCCTAATCTTGGGGTGCATCACGGCAGCATCGCCCCGGGGCTCCTGTGGTCGTTAATCCGGCGGTGATTGATGCTCTGTGGATGGGTTCACTGATGGTAACTGATAGCAGTGGTGTGACTGGGGTCAAACTGGGGCAGGTTCTGTGTCAGGCTGTTCCCACCAGGCAAAAAGCCCGGTGTTGCAAACCCCAACACACAACGTCATTGACAGGCGCCATGGGAGCCTGTGACCTCCTCAAGTCCTATCCATGGCACGTGTGGGACACAGAATGGAGTGTCCGGGATGCTCAGCCCTGTGGCATCGCTGCCTGCGACACCAGGGTCCCCTCCGATGCTCTGTGATGGGCTCGCTGGGACTCACCGGACGTGTTTTTCTCACCCAGTGTTCAAAGCACCACAGGAAGAGCTTTTCCTGAGGCTGCAGGGGAACTGGTTTCCCTGAGTGCTGGCTCTGATGTGAGGAATGAGCAGAACCAGCCCCTTCCTCCCCGCTGTGGGGACCAGCTCTGAGGCCTGACCCAGCATCTTCCTCCTTGTGCCATGAGAAGCTTTGCCGAGGCGCCGCTGAGGCAGGAGGGCAATTGCCTCCTTCGCAGCCACCCGGACCCCACCTTTCCCCTTAAAAGCCGTTTAATTGAGGGCTAAGAACAAGCAGAGAGAAAATACCCGCGGGGCAGCTCCGAAAGCGCTGCAGATAATCATCAGGGTGCCCTACATAGAGCCTGGGCTTGGCTGCGACATCAGACGGGGCAGCAGAACCTGCCATTGTTTGAAAGGAACAGGAGAGGGAAGTACCCACTCCGTAATTACTCACCCCGAGTTAATGGGTGGTAATTACACCGAGTAGGCAGCGGCGGGAGGAAGCGGTGACGGGGCTGAGCCCTGCAGAGTCATGGGGCGAGCTGTGCCCCAGCAGCCCGGCTCGCAGGCAGGGTGTCAGCCCAGCTCCGAGGGGGTTAACTTGATGGGTTTGGTTGGGAACTCTTCCCTTCTCCCTCCCTCCTCGGTTATCCGCAGCAAACAGAGCCCGGCTGGAGGCTCGGAGCTCAGCAAACTCCTGGGGGGACCCGGAGTGCTTGGGCACATCCCAAGCCCGGTGCTGGCCCCGCTCTGTGCCTGAGCCCCCCCCCGTTGCTGTCCCCATGGGGGATGACATCGACTGGCTGGACCTGCCGGGCAGGTGGACCTACGGCGTCTGCGGGGATGGACGCATCTTCTTCATCAAGTACAGTCCCTGCTGTGGGATGGGGATTGAACCGGGGTGTAAGGGGATGCTGGGGGGGCTGCAGGGGGTAGGGGGGCTTAGTCTGGGATGAGAACAAGGGGTACCCCTTGCTGCAAACCTTTGCACTTGGCTGCTTTCCTATCGCGCACTCCTCTCTTCCACGCCTGTTCTCATTGGGTCACTGCTGCCCCAAGCCTGGTGGATGCTAAAACCTGATCCTTCCATTCCTTTGTCTGGAAGTCACCACTGGTGACGGGAATGGGCTCCCCGGGTGCTGACATCCCCGATCCTTGTCTTCCACAGCGATGAGACCAAGTCCACG